CTTTTTAGTTAGCAGATTAGAGGTTAATGAATCTAACTTTTTAGTTAGCAGATTAGCGGTTAGTGAATCTAACTTTTTATTTAGCCAATTAGCGACTAGTGAAGCTAACTTTTTAGTTAGCTGTGCCCACCACAGAATTAAATGTTGGATAAAAATTTGAAAACAATATTATTAAAATTTTCTTTGCCTTGATGAGAGCATGGAAACTTCTTACTCAGCTGTACCTGCATGGAAGCTAACATGCTAACCTGTAATCTGCATTACGTTCTGATGAATCCAGGTTTGCTTTAATGCTGTTTCTCCTCCTGACTCAGTTGTGCCAGAGGCAGTGAGAAGCGGCACAAGCGGCGGAGGCATGACAAGAGCCTGGACAGGGAAACAAGTTTGTGACGACCTACACACTGGTGGTGCCACCGTACTGTCAGCCAGATAAACACACACACACAAAAAAACGAAAAAGAAAAAAAAAGAATATACCGTGCCACACTCGATCACCTTTGTACTGTGCTACACTGTGTTTTTAGTCAAGTCTGTGTGCAAAGATGTTAGAAACGTATTACCAAGAGAAAAACCTGTTCTACATGAACATAACTGTACCAGCACCAGAGAGGAGCAGGAACGAAGCGACGCCAACGGTTTTAAGTTCAAGACCAATCCCAGAACCATTTTAAAACCGAATTTTAAATCTTTATCATTTGTACTTTGTATGTTTTTGTATTTTTTCCAAGAGCAACTGCTAGTTGTCCTTTTAAAAACCTGCCGCGATGAACCACAAAAAGATTTCATGTGGAGCATTTATTGCTGCTGAATTTCGCACCTTAGATAAAAAAAGATTAGATCTTTGCCAATATTAACACAAATCACTGGTATCTAAGAGAGTTGGCTATGTAAAGAACCTTGTAATTTTCTGAAAGTATTAATTATACATTTTCTATATAAAAGCTGTAAACCTATATGTCTTTGTGTCAGTGACAGTTCGACTCACTTTAAGGTATTCCATTGCTGTTGCACATRTAAATGTGTCTTGTCCAGTCAAGCTTTTCTCTCAATTTAACCTGAAAATGTTCAATTTTGCCCCATTGCTAAGAGCTTAAAGGGAAACCCAATTAGATATAGCATCACACATTATTTAATAAACATTTAATTCAGCTGTAAAAACCTGACTTTAGAAATGCTGCAGGCTGTTTAGTTTTTATAAATTTTAACACATATATATATATA